GCTGCAGCCTGCCGTAGCTCTTTCTACCCTAGGTACTCGAAGCAAGCGTGGGGGATTGTATGTGGTCAGCAGATCACTAAGGTATTCTGGTGCAAGGCCATTCAGTGCTTTATAGGTTAAAAGCAGTATTTTATAGTCAATCCGAGACTTAACTGGTAACCAATGAAGGGAGGATAAGACTGGTGTGATGTGATCAAATTTTTTAGTGTTTGTGAGAACTCTGGCTGCTGCATTCTGTACCAGCTGAAGTTCATGTAAGGATCCAGACGGGCAACCAGACAGGAGGGTATTACAGTAGTCCAGTCTGGAAGTTACAAAGGCATGTACAGTATTAATTTTTCTGCATCACGAAGTGAGAGCATTTTACAAAGCTTGGCTATGTTCCGTAGATGATAAAACTCAGTTCTAGTAATACTTCTTATGTGAGCATCAAAACATACATCTGAATCAACTAGAAGTTTGATTCTAGTTGATATTAGTTTGGTTCATAATGGGCCGAGGTATCTGCAGCCTGGCAAACCTGCAACCATACACACATCAAGCCGAACACACCTGTGGCCTGACACACCTGGAACCTTACACACCTATGGCTGAACACTCCTGTGCCCTGCAACACCTGAGGTCTGACGCACCTGAGGCTCTGCACCCGGAGCCTAACACATCTACCACAAGTTGTTATTGCTGTTATTTTAACACAGTTTGCATGCTGATTGTGGTGTTAATGAAAACCTCTATGAATGTATTAATAATCACAGGTCTGGCCATTGTGTGATCAGGACCAAACTCTGTCTTCCAGTGTCAGGCAGTGGCCCCTCTGATGTGACAATCTCCGAGGAGACACCTGTGAGCTTGCTGGTCACCTGGATGCCCCCGAATGCCCATGTTCTCCAGTATCGCATCTCATACATCGCCCTGACTGGAGACGTGCAGGAGCAGACAGTGAGTGCATCATGGAAGGATTCAGAATGTTACAGCAAGTACCAGGGAAGCTCAGAAATGGGGTGGTGCAGCATGGATGTTAATGACATACCGAAGAGTGTCATCAATAGGGTCCTTGAATAGCCAGGTCTTGTGGTGGGCTGGGTTGGAGAGCCTGCTTTACATCGATATACCCGCTAGGGTGGGTGTGAATTTACCATGGAGGGGGACATCCCAACAGCTGAACCAGGGTTAATTTCATTGATGAAAGCTATGAAAAAATTCTACAAATTTGGTCCTATCAGAAGTAGTATCTTTGGTTAGTGTTGATTGTAGTTGCGCATGACTGAGTAATGTTAAACGGCTACAAACATGTAAATCACGCATCCATATGGCAAGCAGAAACCATGCAGGTTTATCTGTGAATGTGCGTAAGTTTCATATTTGATGTGAAAGAAAACGAGCCTCAGAACAAAACACGAGGTACAAAAAACCATAAACAGCACAAAACAGTAACAGGTAAAAACACCACAAACTGCAAAGTGCTTTTCTGAAATGAATGGAAACATATATTTACTTTTTCTTACAATGTGTTTGAAAAATTCACTGCCATGGACTGATGTAGGTGTAGAAATAAGCAATGGCACAGGAGACACTGCGGGGGGGCACAACTTACTCATTATTTAAATGTAATGGTCTGTTTTTGAAGAGAGGGCCATGAAGGAATTCAAAAGAATATTTGAGGGATCAGGTCTCACCTCAGGTTCTTGTGCCCTTGGGAATAACCACATCACAGCTGCAATTTGATTTCCCTAGTCTGATATTGGTTTCCATTGCTGAGAGAGGACACATGAGTTTTCTTTATTCAAGTTCTGTGCAGCGGTATTTTTTAAATAAAATAAATGAAGACACATCATATTGCAGTGTTTGAGACTAAATTTTGGTTTTATGTATATATTTTTAATGATAAATACTGAAAAGTTCATACAAAGCAATTAGTGCAGTGTTTCATATTACAACCGTTACAATAGTTAAATTTGTGTCCTTAAAGACCACTTGTTCAAACATAATGCCATGCCATAATAACAGCTTTACAGATCAATCAGTCTTTAATTATATGATACTGCTCTAATCACAGGGTTTACAAAGTGCTTTACAGACATTTTAAAAGACTAAAAAGAAAGAAATTCAAATAATCCTGGTGGAAAAAGTTTGGTAACCACTGCTTTAAGTAACAGGCTCCTTGGGACTCAAGCTTTTCATCAAATTCCCAACTGTGCCCACATAAGGCAGCATAAATATTCTGTGATTAATGTGCAAATCTGTCTGTCTTTCGCCTTTATTGTTGTTGCCACTATAAATGGGTCCATTTGTAGGGACATGCTTTTGGGTTACCCTGTGGCACCATCTGCAGGTTCTGGTGCCAGGCATCGAAAACCATGTTCGCTTGCAGTCCTTGCTCCCTGACACACAGTACGGTGTCCTGGTCACCGCAGAGTACAGGAACCGGGAGGGAGGCAGCGCCTCCACACAGGGCAAGACCGGTGAGCCACATGGGTGTGTGTTGCCAAGGCTGTTTTGATGTGACTGCCAGACTCAGCATCCATCTGTCAGTCTTTCGTGTCTTCTCCCCGTCCTTCTTGTCAGTCTAGTGTTTCCCCTGCTCCCCATCGGCCGCATGGCTCAACAAGCTGAGCATGTTGTTACCCGTAAACCCTGTACATTTTGTTCCCTTGTGTTTCATTTGTATCTGTTTTTTAGTTCCTGTGATTCTGTGGATTGTTTTTCAATTTGGGTATTTTGCTTTGCCTTAGGTCTGTTTTACCTGCCTCTGTTATTTTCCCAGTGTTTAGTTTCTGTTTCCTTGTTTTTTGTCAGTAAGTTAGTTTCGCTGTTTAGTTTCTGAGTTCCTTGAGTTAATTATTAGTCCCACCTGTTGCCTGTTCTTGTGCCTGCCCTTGTGTGTATTCCCTGTTTGCCCATTGTCCTGCTCCCTTCCCGATTGGTTAACTGTTTTCAACTGTCCGGTATTATCCTTGTTAACCTTTTGTATTTAAGTTCCTGATCCTTTTCTGTTCCTCCTGGAGTCATTGACGTTAAATGTCTGTATGCCAATGTTGATGTATGTGTTCTGTAATTAATAGAACAGGAAGCAGCAGGTAGCTATTAGAGGCACAATGTCGCAGTGGACCTGTGTTCATAGTGGGGTACCACAGGGTTTGATTTTAGGACCATTATTGTTCCTAATTTACATTAATGATATTTACACCAATGCATACAGTAAACTGGTTACATTTGCAGATGACACCAAGGTGGGTGGTGTAGCAGATACTAAACTAGCAGCACAGAGGCTACAATAGGATCTTGATTTAATTAGTGACTGGGCTGATAAAGTAATCCATGCAGGGAGCAGAAATATAAAGTACAGATATTTTATGGGTTCCACTGAAATAAAGGTAGCTCTTTATGAGAAAGACCTCGGTGTGTATGTTGATGCTTCCAGGTCCCACTCTCGCCAGTGTGGGGAAGCAATTAAAAAGGCCAATAGGATGTTGGGTTACGTCACTAGGTGTGTGGAGTTTAAGTCAAGGGAGGTGATGCTACGATTATACAATTCATTGGTAGGACCTCACCTAGAATATTTTGTGCAGGTTTGGTCACCATACCTTAAAAATGACATTGCTGCCCTGGAAAAGGTTCAATGTAGGGCTACAAGAATGATTCCTGGTCTTAGAGGAATGTCTTATGAGGAGAGGTTAGCTGAGCTGAATCTGTTCAGCCTCACGCAAAGGAGATTAAGGGGGGACATGATCCAGGTATATAAGATTCTAACAGGTCTGGGTGCTGTTCAACCAAATGGCTACTTTAATATTAGTTTAAATACTAGAACTCGTGGCCATAGGTGGAAATTAGCGGGATAACATTTTAAACTGAATTTGTGAAAACACTTCTTTACACAGCGTGTAGTTAGAGTATGGAATAGTCTTCCTGTTAGTGTAGCACAAGCTAAAACCCTGGGTTCCTTTAAATCAGAGCTAGATAAAATTTTAACAACTATGAGCTATTACTTAAGTTGATGGGCCGAATGGCCTCCTCTTGTTTGTAAATGTCTTATGTTCTTATTTGTACCCTGCCTGCCCCTTGTTGTCCTGACCCTTTTGTAATTAGTTTTTTTTTTTTATCCCTTTTGGTTTTGACCCCTTGGGTTCCATTTATTTTGTAGTGTCCCTAGTGTTTTCTGTTTTGTTAATAAACCCCTGTTGTGTCCTGTGAGCCGCCAATGGGTCGTCCACATTCTGTTCCTGCCTGCTCCATGCCTCGCCCCCCTTGCATTCTCCGCTCGAGTCCGTGACAATGAATGTTATACCTGGATTTTTGCATCACTGTTGTATATCGCCAGAAATACTGTACATCATCAGCCACTCCGCTTCCCATGTTCCCTCGTACTATAGCCAGCCTGCGAGTCAGCAGCGCGACCGTGGTCCACTCTGACCACTCCAGCCTCTGCATGTCCTGGAGACCCGTGCTAGCTGTCACGGAATACCGCATCGTTATCCAGTCACTTAGAGGTACTACTCTCCCTTTCGTTGATTTTTTAAAAAAATGTTCCTTATAGAAATGATCCAGCACTAATACTGTGTTCATTAATAATGTGTGAGTAAGGTATGCTCATTAATAATCATGAAACGTAGGTTAATAAAGCAGCTGGCCATTCTTAATGTAAAGCCCTATGTGTGCCTCTCTCTTCCTTATGTCTCTACTGTCTGTGTTTGTCTGCTATGTCTTTGAGCACAGACCACAAGATAAAGGAAGATGTCATTGAGGCTTCCAGCAGCTCCCACTGCTTCTCCAACCTGCAGCCTGAGTCTATGTATCGCATAAGCATCCACTCCCGTCTCGGCACAATAGAGGGCACTGCAGTCACCATTCTTCACTCCACGGGTCAGCTACCCCGAGTGTGTGTCACCCTTCAGCTGAACATTTTTAATTTTCCCTCACTGTAGACCCCCCCCTCCCTTGCTTTTTTGTGAGATTTGTTATTCTCTCCAAACAGCCCCCACACCCGCTGGACCACCTTTATATCCCAGACAGCCCCTGGCTCATAATGAAGGTGAACTTCACATTTTCACAGCTCAGTTACAATGAAGCCTCTTGGTAAAGAGAGTCTTCTGGCAAAGGCCTCATTCCACATAATGACGATGGTTTTCTTGGTCCTGCAGTTTTCTGCATAATGAAGCAATTTCCTTTGAATATGAATCTGAATGGTACTTTGTGATAGTGTGCTAACATTAAATTATCAAAGGAGAGCACATATTCGGGATCTGTATATTGTCCTTCTGAAGTTGACGTGGTATAAAAGCCCATGTACCCTGATTGTGTTTAAATGGGACAACAGACCTCATTACAAGGGTTTTTCTGCTTTGCAGTATGTCCAGAGGTAACCATCAGAAACAGTGTTATCAAAGGTAAGAGTACAGATTCAGTTTTATGGTGCTGTTCCTCTGATTGCAATTTATTTGATCACATTTGGAAAGCTGCGTCCTGATGCAACCTGAGAGTACTTTTTCTTTGTGCTGCAGGCTTTGATATGATGGAGGCCTTTGGCTTGACACCAAGGGCCCACGCATCCGTGGAGGGCATCGCCACGGAGACCTTCATCTTCAGCACCCTGCCTAGCTATACACTCTACCAGGACATCCAGCTCACGCAGCGGACGCGGTGAGAACACTGGAGCCACGAGGAGTGGTAGGCGGTCCCTATAGGGCCGTCCACTCCTTGTTTTTCCCAGCCCCTAACACTGTCTGTTTTGCTGTGTTCATGCATGGACTTGCACATGTTTGTAGTGTCCATGAGTGTTTGTGTGTGCACCTGTTTGTGCATTGATTGTGTCTCTCTGTGTCTTATGGTGCTTTTCTACTGGTATACAGGAGCCAAGCCATTCCCAAGGCTTACTGTGATGAGTGACTAGTTATAGCACAGTTCCAGCTCATTTCGGTTTTTGCACTGCGGAAAGGTTGGCTTGGTAAAGGCCTTGCTGGGTTTGGAGTGCAACAGTGATGTAAAACTGAAGAGACACTTATTTACTGTTCACAATTTGTGCCATGTGCTAATTTCCACTAGCACATCTGTGAGAATCGTCGTGCAATTTTAGCATCAAACGCTAGTGGAATTAGCATTCGCTTGCATAAATTTGCAACGAATCCATTCCATTCAGCTGTACTATAGTACTTTTTAAGTAGGTGATTGGAAATGTTGAAGTTTCCAGTTATTGGGAATGCATCAATACATTGTGATGTGTGATACCACTTTTTTTCCCTTCAGGTAGTTCATGCATATCTATGCATGTCACTGGTATCTCCATGCATTTTGATCTGATGGTGGTGATGCAACCAGCTCGGTTTGGTCATTTTTGGCCCTGCTAGTAGGCAGGGTCATGTTACTGTGGATACAGCTTGCATAATTTACAATGGAAAGCCATCAGTTTGCGGTATGGCTCGGTTGTTGGTGGCGGTGGAAAAGCTCCACTATGCCCCATGTCAGTGTCCATCTCAGTGCCAGCCTCTGTCCGTGTTAGTGGGCTGCCCTGCCCATGGATGCTCTGCCCCTCACTCCTGATTCGTCCCTCTCCATCTGTCAGCCACACCCACCCCGCAGGGCTCTCCCCGGAGCACACGGTCAGCATGGTCTTCCGCCTGCTCCAGGGCACGCCACAGGAGCCCTTCGCCCTCTGGCAGATCACAGACATCGACTATCAGCCCAAGATGGGAGTGGCGCTCGACCGTGAGTCTCGGAAGAGGGACGGGAGGGTGAGGCGTGGGTGGGCAGTCGATATACTGCAGCTGTCAGTGGCTCAGCAGGTGACCATGTCTTAGCACACTCTCAGAATTACTCGGACATAGAGATAGTGAAGATTCCAGACATATGTGTCTATACTGTAAAACAGAGTAAACATTCCCATATAAAGGCAAAAGTTATTGCCAAAAGGCAGTAATGAGCACAGAAATGTAGTAGACATTTAACCTGAATCTTGTAGTAAAAATACCAGGGAATTATTCAGTGTAGCACATAATTTGGATTATTATAATACAAAATCAGGAAGAATAAAGAACCATATGCTGGTAAATCCACAAGGCACTGAAGCATTTGATAAAGAACTGAACATTTAAATTAATTATGAATTAGGAAATGGCTCTCAAGACCTCTACAATATCAGTGTTGGTCAAAGATAAATCTGCCCTCTTTTACACTGAACTGTTATTTTGTCTGAGGTAATTGAAAGCAGCCCAGTTAGTCAAGAAATGATTTACTACTCGGTCAGCTGCTGAAACACTCTCTTGCCCTCATATGTGTGGCTGCCTTCTCTTAACCCCCTTCTCAGCTGCTAGGAAACAACTGCTGTACTTCAGCCTGGACTATCGGGGGGAGGTGCAGGAGCTAATGTTTGACCAACCCCAGGTGCACCGCCTCTTCTATGGTAGCTTCCACAAGGTATGTGATTGGTTGTTGTGATTAGAGATGAGCAATACAAGAGCTCTTTTTACTTTGTTATACTTTATATATAAATTTTTTTAAGCTAGTAAATACAGATGGAAAAAATGTATGACAAAAATATTTAATTAGGCTACTACAAACATACATAACGTACTGTTCCACCTCGTTTGTTTTAAGCGTTTTTGAGGCATTTGCAGTTCAATATGAATATCTTCAATGCAAGTATACACAAGTGGCAAATGCTTAACATTTTAACACAGTTTTTTTCCCATTGGCGTCAGCACAGTTACACTTTTGTTGCAATGGGAGCCCCTCTTGTATCACAAGCTGCCGGGAGTTCGCAAAACAGTCCAATTAAGTTAGCGACTCCCAAATCATCCGTTGCTTTGTTTTGTCTCGCAGTTGCGTGCGCTTTGTTAAATGGGATTGTCCATTAAACGCTATTCCCACCTTTATTTTACATAGATTGCAAATCGCTGTGCTACTGGTTTCTGTTAAAAGCGTAAAATACTCACCAGATATTATCTTACGCTGCTCGTACTGCGAAGGGTATGTGCATGACATCACAGCAGGCGGAAGTCACTGTAGTAGCAAAAAAGACTGAGGGGCAGCGATAGGGTTCGATTTGAATGCCGCAAAAAACACATGTAACATGGGAAAGAGCTGTTGTGAGATTGATTGCCAAAAACTAAATAAATAAGTATAGGACGTGGATCGGTCACACATGACCAATACCCGATCCATCAAATAGGTCTGGATCGGCGCCGATACCGATCCGAATATCGTGTTATATGTTTAGACTGCTTTAGAAAAGCACTGTATAATGGAAAAGAGTGACATATGGACAACATAAATGACCTGGGTCATGTGGTACATTTTGTCGTATGACTTTTTTTATAGACGTTCCATTTTACAAACTTTTCTCAGCATTAACTTTCCAGGAGGTAGCCAGGTTCACAATATTTTTGTAGTGATGAGTTTTGTGTCGGTCTGCAGCAGGGCAATGATGAAGATGATGATGATGGTAATAAATATTCACATGGTCCTGTCACCTGGCCAGGTGCACTTGTCTGTCAGCCAGGTGAGCGTCTCCCTGTCGGTGGACTGCCAGCACGTGGCGGACTGGCCGGCCCGGCCCCTGGGGATGCTCCCCACTGATGGCTTTGAGATGCTCGGCAAGCTGCTCAGGACTCGCGGCCCGCACAGCGGCTCTGCCTCAGTGGGTTGCCTGCTGCCGTCCTTTGATGTTCACCCAACTCAGCAGTCACCTATGGAAGTTCTGATGGGCTGCTGCCTTGGGATCTGATATAAAACACAAGATGTCTACATTTCACCTGTACTCTCTCTCTTTCTCTTATTAAACTGTGTGACACTTTGTTTCTCTAGGTATTTTTATTTGCTATATATTGGCTCGAAAAAGAGAAATTACAAACCGAATTTAATGCAGGTTGACTAAAACAATGATAAAGGCTGAAAATAGTGTGTGTGTGAGACAGTAATCTGAACCCTTGTGGTATGCGGGTGTTCAGTTTCAGCTGCAGTCCTTTGAGATTGTGTGCAACACCACCTGGGCCTCAGAAGACACCTGCTGTGACATTCCAGCCCAGGTGAGCCATGCTGGTTGACTCCGCCCTATCTGCTCCAGGACCTGGCCTGAGCACTAACCCTCTCGCAGCGTGTCGTTCGGCGCAGGAGCCTGTGTGTGAAAAGTGAAAGTGACTAAGCCAGGCATGACTAAACGAGTGGAAGGTAGAAATCAATGAAACATGGAATGGATGAAGGACTGTGTTTCTGATGGATTGCTGCTGTCATCTTACCCCTAGAGAGATGAGGAAAGCTGCCCCACCCCTGCATATGCATGCACGTGCACCTCTAATGTTCCCGGAGCCCCAGGGCCGACTGGTCCTCCGGTGAGTCCTCATGTTTTCATTGGCTCAACTCAGGAAGACACGCATACAGCTACACTCACTCCATTTGGCTCCATACCGCCCTGCCGTCTTTCTGCAAGATGGACGTGGTCATTCCTTAATGTGTCAGATCATTTTTGGTGTTCTCAAAGGAACCAGTCCATTGTACTTCCTGAAGAGGCTCTTCAAAGCATCTTGCAAACCTTTTCGTATTAGAATAGGCAACTTTATGAGGCTGGAATTGATCATGTCACTGAACTTCAGCATTTTGAAGCACTTTATAAAGCATTGTCGCGTCTGTGCTTACTGTAAATTATTGTTTCTGCGAATTTATGTATCTTTAATTTAGTAATTTGACTGATGTATTTCTCATGTACCTTAGGGCAAACCCGGTCCCCGTGGTGAGAAGGGGCAGAAAGGAGAGCAAGGCCAGAAGGTCAGAGGTCACAGCAGGGTCCCGTCCGCTACACATATTGAGAAAACATGTCCGCATCACATTTACAACTGGCCAACCAGAGAATTTACCTCTTTATATAGGGATTGAAGCAGCATCTCTGTAATTATACTTGCCAAATGGATCCCCGTTTCTACATCCCAGAAGCCATTTTCCAGAAATGTCTGTGGCTTCCGTCGCCCTTCATTTTTTGTCTAAGCATCTTATAAACAAGAATGAGGTTAAACTGATTTCCAGGCATAAGACCAGAGCAATTTTGGTGCTTTATCCATCCATCCATTACACGTAAATTTTGTTTTAATCTTGTTTTTTTAAGTTATTCAAGTACAGTGGTACCTTGGTTTACGACCATAATTCGTTCCGGAAACATGCTTGTAATCCAAATCTGTTCAGCCTCAAGCAAAGGAGACTGAGGGGGGACATGATCCAGGTCTATAAGATTCTAACAGGTTTGGATGCTGTTCAATCGAATAGTTACTTCAGCATTAGTTCAAATACAAGAACTCGTGGCCATAGGTGGAAATTAGCGGGAGAACATTTCAAACTGGATTTAAGAAAGCACTTCTTTACACAGCGTGTAGTCAGAGTATAGAATAGTCTTCCTGATAACATAGTGCAAGCTGAATCCTTGGGTTCCTTTAAATCAGAGCTAGATAAGATTTTAACAACTTTGAGCTATTAGTTAAGTTCTCCCCAAGCGAGCTCGATGGGCCGAATGGCCTCCTCTCGTTTGTATAGTTCTTATGTTCTTATGTATATCAAAGCAAATTTTCCCATTAGAAATAATGGAAACTCATATGATCTGTTCCACAACTCAAAAATATTCATATAAAATTATTAATACAAAATATAAAGTAAAAATACATAAAACAAATTAACCTGCGCTTTACCTTTGAAAAGAATCGTGGATGGTGTGAGGGAGACGAGAGAGGAGAAGAGGAGGGTTATTTTGTAGGACAACTTTCACTATAATTAACGGAATCACTGCTATCTGTTGGCTCACTGGAATCTTTTTCTGTTTGTGCGACTTTAACAAGGAACCCATCCAATGACAGCCTCTTTTGCGCCCTTTTCGATTTAGCAAAAATGTGGACATTGCATTGTCGTTAAACAGATTCATCGCTCGCACTGCTACACCCTTATTCAGGTGGTGCTTTTCTACTAAATTTTGACTATACGAGTGAGGCATGCCGACTGAGACCGAGCATGGGAGACGATTACCCACAATTCCGCAACATGAGAAAGTGAATAACCATTGGTTCAGTTGTGATGACGTGTGCTCGGCGTCAAAACAAGAAGCACACGCGTGCGTTTCCTGTTTTGAAGCCGAGCGCACGTAAAAACAAGAAAAACAAGGAGCGCATGTGTGCCATATGATTTTTGATGATACTTGGCGCTCATAAACCAGGACTTGCTCGGTTTCCAAGTCAAAATGTATTAAAAATCTTTGCTCGTCTTGCGGAACACTCGTAAACCCCGTTACTCGTAATCCGAGGTTCCACTGTAAAATTAACTGCAACATGATGTAATGAGGGTGCCATGGAAGTGCAGTGGTTAGCACTGTTGCCTCACACTTCTGGGTCCAAGGTTTGAGTCTTCATGTGTGTCGAGTTTGCATGTTCTTCCGATGTTGCTGTGGGTCCCCCCTTCTGCAATCCAAAAGGGGAATTGGAGATACATTGTGTATGTGTGAGTGAATGGTGTGAGAGTGTGCCCCACAATTGGTTGGTGCCCCATCCTGGGTTGTTCTCTGCCTTATTCCTGTAGGTTCCCCAAATCCAGTCCTGGTGGGCCAGAATCTAACACGGTTTGCAGATTTCCCTGCTCAAACACATCTTAATCAGCTAATTACCAGGTATAGTAGGTGTGTTTGAACAGGGAAATCTGCAAACTGTGTTTAATCCATGGAGCTATACTACAGTTTGTGATTGTACTGTGACATTTGATTCCTCCCGCTAATCTTCTCTCCTTTTCCTGTGCAGGGAGAAATGGGTCCTCCAGGAAAAGCGGGGCCAGTGGGGGGGCCGGGGCCCCTTGGCTCTCATGGTCCCCGGGCGATGACGGTCCAGGGGCGAATAGTAGGTGTTTCCAGACTCTTCCTAGTGATTTCAGTGGAGACTCCTGCTTGTTTGGAGCAGACACACATCAGGAGTTTTTGAAATTGCATGTTCTCTGGTTTGAAGGGTCCACCAGGAGCGAGAGGGGAAAAGGGAGAGGTTGGGAAGCCTGGACGCCAGGTGATGCATCCGCTCCATCCTCCTGCATCCGACGGAACCCTTTTAAAGTATCATGTAATTTCTTAATTCTCTGCTTCTCTTTTTCATGTGTGCTCTTAGGGACTACCAGGTCCTCTGGGGCCCAAAGGCAATGAGGGAAACCCAGGTCCCAAGGTGAGAGCTCAAACCTACTACATGTCATCTAATGTGGGAGTATGCGTGATTGCGTCACCGGTATATGGACAGTATAGTGACCTCTTCTGGTAAATAAGCCACAAGCACATCAGCCTGGCTATATTTATACACATGTGGCTGCATCATAACATTGTCATTGTGAAGGGGTGACAGCATATGTCTTTTAAACAATTAGTTTACACAAAGTCCTCCAGGGTAATAAGCCTTCAGGAATGTATGGGTTTTAGTTGGACTATTCGGAGAAGCATAACAAAGTTGTGCTGTATTAGAGTAGGAATAGATTCACTCTTTTTCTTGTGGTGGCTCCATCCCTCCAAAATGATGTGCTGAAAGTCACATCATTAAGTCATGGTGGCGCAGGAGGTACTGCTATCGGCCAGCAACCAGAGGGTTGCAGGTTCAAGCCCTGGTTCCTCCTGACCCCATCAAAGTGTCCTTGTGCAAGACACTGAACCCCAAATTGCTCCTGGTGTGCAGGTTGGCACCTTGCATAACAGCCTCCACCACTGGTGTGTGGATGGGTGAATGTGAGGCATGTATTATAAAGTGCTTTGAGTACTAGTAGGAGTAGAAAAGTGCTACATAAATGTAGTCCATTTACCATGTTTTAACTGGACTTTTATAATAGGCCCATGCTTGCAGGAGTTACATTTATGATCAAATTACTTAAATTGATTGTGTGCTGTAATCAGGGTAGCGGCTCAATATTGATGATTCTTCAGTACAGTCTTCATTAGAAGAAACAGTTTGAAGGTGAATGGAGAAACTGATGTTTTTCCCGCTAGTTTATACGAGAAAGCTGGCTGTGAGATGGATTCTGCCCTCATCCAGTGCTCTCCATCTCTGATGTATTTTTTTTTTTTTTATTTCTTCGATCCCCAGGGAGTGCGAGGTGTGGAAGGCAACATGGGTAGCCCTGGGATACCAGGACCAAGGGTAAGAGAATCCATTGCTTCTGAAGAGATTGCCTAACTGCATTCTAGGTGTGTAACTTTACACCACACACATTCAATGTCAGTGACTCCCTAACCACTATGGTATGGTTAATGCTGCCTTTCAAAGATCTTGACTCCATGAAAGAAATGCCTTTTTACTTATTTCAACACCCCCCCACCCCCCACCCCCCACTTCTAATTGTAGGGGTTTCAAGGATTACCAGGCTTTCCTGGACCCATGGGCGAAAGAGGAGCACTAGGTCCAGTGGGACCAACAGTGAGTTGATTGAATCCTAATATTTCTGGCATCTAGAATGACTACAATTGTCATGGTCGTCATTAGGTCCAATCACCCGGGGCTATAGCCCCGAGTATTTTAGCCCCAATGCCAATCTTCTTTCAAAAGAAGAAAAACCCCGGTTAAACTTGACTTAGCCCTGGATCTTTTCAACAACTAGAAACTCACCTGACATTTGTATATGAAAAACAAATTATAATGAGTCTGTCACCATATAGAAAAAGTCATATAGAAAACCATTTATGGCAATTAGCAATGCTGTGTATTCATGCATTCCGGTCACTCAGATGAAAGGAGGATGAGTTACATTGAACATCTGAATTGTAGAAACAAGGCAGATGATTCTAGGCCAAAGAATAATTGATTATTAATATCACTGTGCTTCTTGTCCCTCAGGGTCTTCCTGGGAACAAAGGAGAGAGAGGGGAGAAGGTAAGAAAGACCATCCATCCATTCATCTATCCATCTTTCCATACATCTTCTAACCACTTATCCCAATCGAGATTTCAGGGGGCTCTATTCCTGGTAGTATAGGGCATGCTGGGTAGGATGCCAATGAGATAAAATATTTTTATAAATATTATGTATTAGTTCTGTAGAGACACATGGTAGAGAGCTGAGCCAGGATTTGTCTCGTCGATTGTGAATATTTTGCTTTGTGTCCCAGGGGGAGCCACAGTCGCTTGCCAGTATTTACCAGCTGGTTACTCAGGCTTGTGAACAGCTAGTACACGGTATGTATTGATATTTAATGTTTTCTTTAGTATTCCATACAACAATGAGAAATAGACTGTAATACAAAGATGATTCTGTTGCTAAATAATTCCCTTCATAAAACAATACTTTAAGCTTATGAAGTACGTTTGTTTGGTTTCTTTCTTCACACTAATGCATTATTGCAGCACCATTAAAATGGGATATTTTTTCTTGGCAGATGAAGTTCTGAAGCTGGAGTCTGCCCTGCATGAGATCAGCCGAAAGCCTGTGCCGCAGCAGGAGCCCATGGGCCCCCCAGGAGAGCTCGGCATTCCAGGCACCAGAGGGCCTCCGGGACCCAGGGGGGGCCAGGGAAATCCAGGTACTAGGGGAAACCCTGGAAAGCCAGGATACCCTGGGGAACAAGGTAAGACAGTGGATGACTTTGTGTAAACTAATTGTTTAAAAGACATATGTTGTCACCCCTTCACAATGACAAGGGTTAGGGGTGGAAGTTTCCCACGAATTTGCGACTAATAATTGGGCTCCCCTATCTTCAACCCATAACAGTCTGCTAGCCTGAATGATAACATAAGTCCAATATCTAAACCAACAGTACTGTACTCTTGGCATGTTATATTACTATGTCATTTCCAATTTTTATATGATATACAAACCATCTAAATGATTCACCTGTATGTACAAAGTTACTACTCTACGCACAAGGAGCACTACATTTTGGACCCATTATTAAAAATGGAAAAATACAGACACTGAACAGTTTACAATTTACTGCAAGAATCGTGAGATTCCACAGTCACAAAGACAGCTAACACGTGAGTGAGGCTGGTTACCAAGACAAAGATTCAAGACCCAAGCCAAGACTTCTAATATTAATGATATCGTATGCACTTAAACTAACAAATATTATATATCACTAATATTTATGTATATGACTTAATGTGATCCAAATCAAAAATCGTTTTTGGCTTACGTGTTGTCTGTGAGTTTCTGCGATCTCCAAAAATATTCCCATTTAATTTTTCATGGCAAACGTGAATGACCAGAACGAATGTCAAATTAACAATCTGGAGGGGCAACTGTACATATGTTATAAACCTACTGTGGTGTTCGGGCGGACCGAGGCATCGCAGGAGCAGAGAAAGACATGGAGACTTGCTTGCTGGAGAGAACATGCTCTTTATTCGCAGTCCTTGAAAGGACTACATCAGGCAACCAACAAGAACCGAACCAAAAACACAGATGGGAAACACAAGGTTGTCAAACGCCCAACCAAGGTTATTATCGTCAACGAAAACGAACGAAATAACGAAAACTAGAATTGAAAAAACATTTTCGTTAACTGAAATAAATAAAAACGACAATTAAAAGAAAAAACGATAACTGACTATAACTGTATTGTGCGTTGACAAAACTAACTAAAACGTACTGAAATTATAGATGAAATGTCCTTCGTTTTCGTCCTTGTCAATTTATTTGTAAGTCGATTTATTTCGCTCTAGCAGTTTTACGTGAGCTGGCGGCACCGTACTGCACCTCTCTGTCCATCACTTCTTGTTTACAGTCGGCTTTTGCTCACTGCATTACCTGGAAAAATGGCAACGACAAAAGTTGGGAGAAGGCGGCAGAGTCCTATCTGGAATTTCTTTGACTATGACAGCGAGACAGATAAGAGCAGGTGCATTGTAGAAACAGGTGACAAAATATGTGGGATACTTCTCAAGGGAAAAACCCCCACAAATCTGAAAGTCCACTTGAGAAGCTCGCATAAGACGGCTAATCGCGAGTACCTTGACCAAGTAGCCTCTCTGATTAGCTCCCCTGAAAGAGAAGCAACATCCCGGCCAAGTAGCACCGGGAAGGAGGAGACAACCATAATGGACTGCTTTCACCGACGACCAAACAGCTGCTGGTTAGTAAATACGCAGGAACACCACAAGACTTCATTTCCTTTTTGTTTACAATATTGGACGTATGGTTAACATAGAAAAAAAAAAGCACATCAGCATCAAGCCCCCGGGGAAGACCCAGGACACGCTGGAGAGACTATATGTCTCCGCTGGCCTGGGAACGCCTCGGGATTTCCCCAGAGGAGCTGGAGGAAGTTGCCGGAGAGAGGGAAGTCTGGGTTTCCATGCTTAGACAATGCAATGGTTTTTGAGTTTGTTAATGTTTTTCTCAGATTGAGCTCCCTGAGACTCCTGGCTGTCAAGAAATGTGACGTGTGCTTCGTGAATGGGTTTATATTCTTATGTTCATGTGTGTCTTTAGTCTATGGGCTATTTTGATTTGTACCAGGCACGCTACCTGTATCCAACATCAGAAGCAGTATCACACACATTTTGCACTTAAGCTGCTATCTTGTAGACTATTGGTTGTTGTGGATGGTTGGTTGTTCAAAACTAACTGAATACACTTTTTGAAATGGTTTCCTTTGTTGAGTTTTATTACACAATACTTACTGATCTTTTTGAATCCTGCACCTGACAAATAACCCAAAGTCTGAAAAATGAAAACTAATACTAAAACTAATAAAAACTAAACTAAAACTAAGCATTTTGAAAAAATTAAAACTAAAACTAGCAAACCTGCTCTAAAAACTAATTAAAACTAACTAAATTAGAGGGAAAAAAGGTCAAAACTAAATAAAACTAAACTATAATGAAAAATCCAAAACTATTATAACCTTGCGCCCAACTGCAAGATGTGCACACGGTGGGAGGTTTGCACAAGCTAACGTGCGAGGATCGGACCAGGTACACACAAGACACAGGCAAACACACTCGCGACAATAGGGAAATGCAACCATTAACATTAATATTGACAACAACACAACAAGAGCTATTTACTGTTGCACACGGGGCATGCTGGGACATACGCCCCGCCGGTGCTACAATACAAACAATCAAGATGAGATTGCCTGAAAAATATATTTGGAAATGAGGGAAATTGTACTAAGGGCTTCTGCTATATAAGAGAATAAACCATGGTGTGGTATTAACTTTTAATTGTATTCAGCTATTCAAAATAAATGGTCTAGTAAGTGGTCTAACAAATCATCCTGTTTGTCTCCTCCAGGGCGGAGGGGGATTCCTGGGGGAAAGGGTAATGCAGGGGCCAATGTACAGGGGCCCAAGGGGATTAAGGGATTACCAGGTGAGAGTGTCATTTTTCTCAGTGACAATGCTAATGCCGGCTCTGTAACATCCCTCTATCAAAGTCCCACCATTGACCAACATCGTGTGCATGAGCAGGTCTGCCCGGTGAGTCCAAGCTAGGCGACACAGGGCCTCGAGGTCCGGATGGGAATCCTGGGGACGCTGGGCCACCTGGAGCCATTGGCCAGCGTGGGGAAATGGGACCCCCTGGTGTATGTGACAGCAGTGGCTGCAACAGAAGGAGTAATGCAGCAGGTACAGGAAATGCTCGTAAAGTGGTAGATTACAGCATCAACAAACATCTGAGGGTTGAATTTGTCATAGAGATGTTTTTCAACATGATACTGCCCTGGAGCATTATGGGAATTAATATGGGAATTAAATTCTGGAAGCTTGTTTTCAATGTAGACTACAAAATGCCCCCCAGAAGTCTAAAAAGGGTACCTTTCATTTAGGGATCTTTTCCACCACACCAGGTACCATACTTTTGGAATGGATCTTTCGGTACTTTCCCAATTCCATTAACTTGTCGAGTAGCAGTACCAAAAGTTCCAGTACCTAAAGTACCAAACCAGCTGGGGTACTTCTTTGGTATTTCGGTACTTTGGGATGGGACTTGCAAACATGTTCATTGGCGATTTGGTTATGCAGACAGCTTGCCTCTGAAAAACAAAACTGCCGTCTTGAAAAAAGTTACAAACAACTGTTAAAAAAAAGTAATAATAATGTATGCAGGGACAAATGAAGAGATCAAAGCTTTAATAGCGATCTGGTTGAAAGAATCAGAAGTAGACCTGGATGGTATGACAAGAAATAAAAATGTATTTGAAAAAATTAAAATATCATAATGTGATTTTGTTGTAATAAATATTGTGACATTTATAAAGCAAAAAAGGAGCTCAGAATAAATTTCTCTCAAAGCCATCTGTGAGTACCTTAAACTGCAAGGATAAAAATGATTACTGGCTTGGAAAGCACGTGCAGAGCTCATGTAAAAGTAGCAGTGGTAAGCTGTAAACTGATTTTTTTAAACATACATCTTGTAAAGTAACAATCATCAAAATTGCAATGCTTGCTAAGTTTTGTTTCCTATGACAAAGTTATGTTTTAGTGAAAGGTAGTGAAAATGTTTTAGTGAAACTGAAACCCTCCGCGATATAATGTCTGGACAGTATGAAAAATAGTCAGCTGACTATTGTGGTCCTTGAATGTTTGAGTTGATGTTGGTATTAGTATCGCAACATCCAACCCTAACGATACCCGGCCTTGCATTGTGACAATTTAGCACCTGTACCAGTTTTTACACCAATGGAAAAACAACACTTTGAAATACTGTACTTTTGATACTTTCATGAGAAACCAAAAGTATGGTACCCATTGCAGTGGAAAAGCGCCCTTAGTATTAGTTGTTATAGAGACCAATTTAATATTTCATATTAATGCAAATACATTCCACTCTCTTTGCATTCTTCAGAAGATGCATACTACAGTCTCCAGCCCTGAATGCTGGTGGATGACTCCATTCCACAATTGTCCCGCGTTCATCCCAAGTCTCAGCCCATTCGGATACAGTTCCTTTGTTTCTTATTGAAATTGAAAGTACTTTATTTTGAGCAAAGACTTATTTCTGGACAAAAACCAGCAATGAGATGAACAGCTAACAGATATGGCTGCTAGAGCCGTCAGTCAGGCATTAGCAATTAGTGGGAGGGATAGAAAATGCCTTTGCATGAATTTGTAACAGTCAGAAAGGATTAGATCGCAGGTAGGAAATTCTGGTTTCAACTTTGCCCTCAATGGCACGATTTAAGGCATTATTTTAAACCCTATATCCTCCTGTGACCCAAGGAAAAAAAGTATCTTAAAATTGTAGGTTATTTGTCTTTGGAGGAAATAAGACATCTTACAATTTAGATTTTTTCAAATTCATTTTTATTTTTAATTTCACAGCATGTGAAAATGTCCACTGCAATGGACATAAATGAATGGGTGGGGTCTCAGGAGGATATAATTGCACCTGATATTTTCCTCACCAAGTGCCTTATTTGTTAGAACTGTCCACCCCAGTTCTAGAGTATTGGATTAGATCATGCACTCGCAGAAAAGAAACTGTACTTGCCCCAAATGCTTAGCTTGTTAACACTACTGAAATGTTGTGTTTATCAGTCTAAGACTGGGTCAGAAATATTTATCTTTAAGGGTATTATAAAAATGTATTTTATATATGAAAGCTACACATTCTAATGTTTTTGATTTTGTTTTTCATATGTGTTGGTATTTATTATTTATACCTTTTAAAAAAATTGTTTTCCAGTATGAAAGGGATTTCCTATAAGAAACATTTTATAGAAAAAAAATGTCTGTGATTTGAAAAAGAACTACTTAGGCACTGAAATATACGTAATTTGTCAATTGCTTCTGGTTCTCATATTTATATAATATAACAAAAATCAAATTTTAAATGTACTTTAAAAGTGTATTTACACTGTCTGAAGTAAAATTACAATGCATAGATTTGTTTAATTGATAAACCATACACTGTGATGACCATTACATATATTTTTTGAATATTTAATATGTACTTTACGTCTTAACTCATCTCATTTTGTTAAACAGCAGGTAGTGTTTTTGTTGCTGAAAATTAATGCCATTCCATGTTTTTCGTTTAGCTTTTCCTTTTAGTTTATTGTTGTGAAATGCTCTTTATAACCAAAGACTGATGTGGTTTGTAATTGTATTGTGCAGTATACATTTAAGTGAGTTTTGTATGAAAATTGTTTCATAGCATTATACATAATGGTTGAACAATAGCAACTGCGCACCTAATTCTGAAATTGATAATATAACATAACCACTCTTTAAAACATTCAGCTGTGCTATACTTTTGAGACTGTTTTGGTGTTGATATCGTCCCTTCATCACAAACAGATGGGAAGCCATATGAGCTATACAAAAGAGGCGCTCTCAGTTTTTTGTATTGAATGTCTTAAAACTGTGTGACACTACAGAACCAGTATAGTCGACCCCTCTACATCACAGTTTTGATATATCACGGAGTCAGCTTAAGAAATTTTATTTGAATTTTTTGGGAGCTTTTGGGAGTTTTGCAAAAAGCCTCTGATGACACACGAAGGCCAGCAGATACACACAAAATTTTAATAACTCATATATCGTATGTATGTATCTGCAGTATTGGTTTGGAGGATGCCAAGCGTGTGTATGGCAGCGATCTCGCTTTACTTCGATCTGCCTGCCAAGGGGACCAAAAAACATATTTTTTTCCTGATCGCAGGGGGGGCCTGCAGCCCTGCACCCTTTAACCCCTGCGATGTAGAAGGGTCGACTGTACTTTCCTTCTAGCCCAGCTTGATATCTTCTTTTATAAAAATACATTGTCTTCTGAGATCTGTTTAAATAGTTTTAAACATATAGAAAGAAAATTGGAAAAAAAACTGAACAAATGAAAAATAAATATGGTTCTATAAAATGTATGTTCCTTCGTGGTGTTTTGATATAGTCACGTTTATTTTTAATGCTGAGAAGAGTAAAATCATTCACATTTATTCATCAATCTTCGACCTCTTGAGGTCAGCCCATGTGTATCCTATAAAGGTAAGCAAGGATGCCAAATCATGCTGGGCATTCACACTCAACAAAATGCACACTTGTAAGAACAATTGTCACGTGTGGTGCCAGTCAACCGGCATAGGCCGCTGCCTCAGGCAGGGGTTCCCCAGCTCTGAAGCTTGACCAGGGTGCCATAAGGGCTTTGACCAGCTCTAGTGATGCAGCAAGCCATTGTACAACCTTGTCATTGTTGTATAACAAGATTGGGTTTTATTCATATTTTATGATTTTGTACAGGAGCATCACTGTGATTTCAATATCGAGAAGGACAGGGACAAATACATTAAGAGATTCAGTCAAATCCATCCTCTCCCATTATCTTGTATGACCTCTTATGTTTAGCTATGTATACGCTACCTGTCCATTTCAATATTAACTGTACAAATTTTGTAAATCAGGCGTACAAAAAAGTTTTGTCTTCGATTAGAAGCAATGTTTGAATAACAGAGAAGGGGGTTGCTTGTCAAGAGTTACTGCATGTTACTGGTATATTTGTGCAACTATATGATAAATGTAGAGTATGTATAGAATTATACACATTTCAGTGAAGTTTTTAAGTTCACTTGCTGATACCAAATTACAGATACAGTATATATAGCCTAGTTCTGTCTAGTAAGCAATGGTGTTCCCCGACATGAAAACCAATATACTTTGGAGACAATAAGACAAAACTAGACCTTAGAGAAATTTCATTTTAGTTTAGTTATTATTAACAACACAGCTTGTGTGGATACTGGGGATGCTGTCTTGATCAAAATATTGACAACACATTATATTCAATGACATACAGTAGATAACATTAATTACATGTAAGGGATAATGTACAGGCAGCCGGTAGTTATCGCAGAAATAAGCCCCGACAGTGTGATCAGGATCTTGTATCACACTGAAGGGGCTTATTTCGCGATAACTACCGGCTGCCTGTACATTATCCCGCTTATTACACGGCTACTTGCCACATAAGGAAAATGACATGAATGACATGGACATGAATATGAATTTGAAACATTTTATTGGCATATTTGTTTTAAAATAACATTTTTATTTTTCCACGAAACGATAAAGTACCACGTGACTATGCGTTATTACTTTGGAGCGGTTATTATTTGAAATTATACTACGGGACCGTTGAATGCTTGAATCTGATTGGCTGACGAACGTTCTG